CGTATATACTAACGCTAGCATGAACAAGGCATTTTTACTATTTATTTTTGATAGAAAATATCATAGAATTATCTTAGAATATTGCAAAATTCAAATATTTTGAGTTAACCTTTTCCCGCTATGACTTGTGAAAGAAGTCTTAAAAATAGGCACAAGTAATTTTAAGCCAATATGTAATCTGTGAAGAGTGAATATTTCTTGTTCGTGTCAGCGTTAGTATATACGACACCGATATTTACTAGGTTTTCGTATGAAAAATAACTTTAAGTGGGCCTCTATCACTGGGAAAAATTTCACTTAAATCGGTCGGTAAATAATGTAGATATTCAATTTTCTTATCGCCGGGTTACTTATGGGCCACCCTGTATAATATTGACAAAGCAAATAGTCATGAATAAATCTGTGATTGGCTCACTTTTGTCGTAGTGAACGTACACCGACGTTAACGTAGACTAACTGTTACTTTTTCTCTTAATAGTTGACAGAATCGTCAAATAAGCCTGATAAGAAAATCTCTTCCATCGAGAAAAACGACTAGTTTATCAATGAATAACAAATGAGTATTGCATTTTTCTCCTTCATTCTTTTACAGACATTTAACGAGCACCAGCATTTTTCTTATCAAGAAAGAGTAACAAATGGTAGCAAATAAACGACTATTCACAGTAGTTAGTGGCAGTGTCATGCTCATCGCATGTATTTTATTCGTTACGAGTAATGCTTTGCCTTCATGGTATGTGAAATTCAGATCCCTTTCACTGAGGTTTTAACGAATTTCCATCAGTTTGAAAAAAAATTGGAGAAGAGTATTTAATTGTAATAGATCGACATCTTTTGAGGCATTTTTTCATCAGACCACTCATCTCCTTTTGTTCGTAGGGCTTCGAAGAAGTTCAATTTGCCAGAAGATGTACTCAATTCAGCAAATAATGCATTATTGAACGATTATTTACAGCAACTTGGTCTGGCACCGGATGAAGTATCAGAATTAGTTTCAATTAAAACGACCATTGGTCTATGGCGTACTTGCGACACACTTGCTGGAATAAAAATTTGTGTAGATCTTCCTTCGTCATGTTCGTTAACAAAAGGTCAATCAGAGAGTATCTGTCAGAAAATGATTACAGCAAGAGCATTTTTAACACTTGCTTGTATTTTATCGGGAATATCTGTTTTGTGCCTGTTCGCTGGTATTGTCCTCACGGATCATCAACAGAAGATCATTCTTTTGACAAGCAAAATTCTCACAGTAGGTTCGTTTCTGACTGGTGTTATTGGTCTTTCAGTAGGAATCGCTTATGCCACTTCCACTGGTGGACTACCACTGTCTGTCTCTTTGAATGTGGCAGCCATATTGGTAATTGTCGCCGTAGTTCTTAATCTGTGTGCTGCGATTTTTGCATTGATAATTCATTGAACATTGGAAAAGACACTTGTGTGCGAGCAAACGATATTTACTCTCTGACAATGATGTTTAATGCTTTCGCTTCATGTCTTGTGTTTCATTTGATTGACAACTTATCTGAATAAAATCTAGCACAATCTCTGGCTTGTTCCTTTAGGATGTATTTGAGATTTCCACTACCGTCGTCAAAGATGAAACTGTCGTAAAAGAAAGTAGCGAAAAAATTAATGTCGAAAATCAAACAAAAACATCTGCGGACAGTATGTTGACCAGACACCCAGTATCACGCTAAAGTGGAGGGAAATTGATTCGACTTTGTTTCTCTCAAGACATATGTGATATAACTAGGTAATAACTCAGTAACGATCAAACCATCAGTCGCTTTTTTCGCTACATTCCCAAACGATCTAGAACTATCCTCGCAGTCTGAAATAACGGTTGAGATGGTATCACTAATTTCAATATGGTTGGCAACAGAAGCGCCTCGAATAATGCACGCATTCTCTCAGCACGCAACCAAAATAGGATCTTACTGGACAGTTTCTGTAGGCTACACGTAATCGACGGCAATATGGATCATATCGGTGAATAGGAGATAATGACTGAGAATATAACGGATACCTTCTCATCGACTCTTGAGGGTGAGATAACAAGAAATTATTCCAAGCAATCTTACGATCGCGATTTCGACAGTTGCTTAGGCTGTCAATCGTCAGGTAAGTTCGGAACAATTTTATTCAATCTGTATTCGAAAAATTCTTAATTCAAAATCAACAATAGAAGATTTTTTAAGGAATAGAAAAAGTTCTAAATGAATAAAACTCATTTCATATTCAGTAAAATCTTTCAAAGTAGAATGAAAGAAGAAAAATTCATGAAATACACAGAAGAATTCTATTTCTTGGTGAGATAACAAGAAATTATTCCAAGCAATCTTACGATCGCTATTCGGGCGAATGTTATGGGACTGATGGTTGTTAATGATTGCTAGTGTTATATATATCTGAAATGAAATGAAAAGAGAAAGGAAATGGGAATATCTATGGCGAGGTCTCAAGAGGGTACAGCAAGTAGTATGATGTAATTTATTATAGATTGTGCATAGAAGTCTTATAATGGAGATTGATATCTGGTGAGTTGAGGAATAGAGAGAAAAAGAAAAAGAACTATTGATGAAATAGAAGTCAGAGATCCATTCTAGTGAGTAGTTGTCGTCGTGGTTTTTTATGGATGAAGAAATCTTCCAATGTTCGATTCGTTGTAGGTATGAGACGAACTCGAACATTGTTTACATTGGAACCTTGATACATGTAGTGTTTTTTTCCACCATGCGTTGAAGGACTTACGAAAGTCTTTCGTCAATCCACTGTCAAATATGTAAGGTGTAGCCATTATTTTTCGATTCCATTCTTTTGTTTCTAGGGCAAGTGGCTTGTTGATTGGATCTTGCATATGTTGTTGTAGTTGTTTTTCACGTCGTGTTGGTTTAAAAAGTAATTGTTGATGCAATCGTTGATAACTGTTCTCGTCGAGTTGTTGTACTACCGATCTTGCCTGATTCAATTGGAAGAAACGATTAAAATGTTTCGCGATAAAATTTGGTGGATAATCGTTCAATAATAATGACATGTCAATACGAATTCGCTCGGTATTGAAATCATTGATATGCGAGCAAATACGTGCCGCGCGAAGTAGTAGTTCATAAGGTATGTTACGATGAACATGACGTGGATGATCAGATGTGAGTGGTAAAACGTATGGTTCAGCAGTCGGTTTGTGATAAATTGATGTTCGTAATTGACCGTTGTCATTTGTAATAGTAATATCAAGGAAATGAACAGATGTACTTATGGTTGTTTCAATTTTAACCCTAGTACTACCAGCCTGGGTCATTTTTGACCCAGAGGCAAAATGCGAATATATGCTAGAAATATTTTGTTATATCCTGGTTTTTCGAGGTAACTAGCATTCAGGGGGTTGATGGGTCATGCTCCCTTTACTATTCACTTACCATTTGGTATAAGCTGTTGAATCTAAAAGGAGATTATTTGCTTTTTTTTATATGCATTTAACTACTAGTCTTAAATACGATATCATGTCTTTAGTACGGAATAACTACATGAGAAAGAAAAGAAAAGAGAACAAGTTAATTTTTCAATGATTCATTTATTGTTCTGACCATTAATAATCAATTGTTTTTTGAATGGTTGTCAGCTGTCCAATTATAATGATAGATGATTCATTCAATTATCGACGATCTGTTTATCATTTTAAAATTATATTTGTTGATAATTCTTTTTGATATTCAAATTTATATACCGACTTATCCTTCTAGCTGATATAAGTTCATATGATGTCTCTTTATTTACTTCTCGTTTGTAGATTGATATTTATTTTGCATATACAATCTGAATAAATTATTCAAAATACTATAAAAATAATCATGAACAGTTGGACCGAAGATGAAACTGATGATGACGATTTTTATGACCAAGGAAGTGGTTCTGAAACAGAAGATTTTGAAAGTCAAACATCAGAAGAAGATGATGAAATTGATTTAGAAAATCTTAGAGATCATCCATAAAGGAGATCCTATGAAAATCTCTTTATTTCTATCTACCTATTCAAACTTTGTTTGTTGTTGATTGGCCCTGATTGTCTCTTTACAGATGTTCTTTGTGAATCGTTTGTTAAATTAGACGACGATTCTTCTCAAAGAAGTTTCTATAGCTCCAAATCCGGAATTACTTGGTCTTCCATTCCGCATCCTTCGACGAAAAAAGCAAATTGTTCAAATGATACTAGTGAAAAAGCTGGACCTACTACACTCACGAAACATGTATCGTCTATTCAAGATTCATTTACTTGTTTTATATCAGAAAAAGTATTACAAAAGCTTTTGATTTATTCTAATATGGAGCGTACTCGAAATATCACTTCAAATGAACAATCAGAAGAAATAACAATGATCGAATTAAAAGCTTTCATTGGACTTTTATTACTTGCTGGTTTATTAGGAAAATCAAAGAAAAGCATCAAATCTATATGGAAAAGAAGTCCGTTGGAGTCTCCAATATTCAAGGCAACTATGGCTAGAAATCGTTTTGAAAAAATTATTTCCTGTTTACGATTTGACGATAAAACAACAAGAGAAGAAAGAAAAAAAACTGATAAATTTGCAGCAATTCGTGAGATTTGGTCAGATTTCCAAGACAATCTAAAAACATGTTATATACCGGGATCTTATGTTACGATTGATGAACAGCTACTACCTTTTAGAGGAAGATGTCCATTTCGTCAATTTATTCCAAAGAAACCTGATAAATATGGATTAAAGTTCTGGTTATGTGTTGATGTAGAATCATATTATGTGTTCAATGCATTTCCTTACATTGGACGTCAACCAGATCAAGACAGACAAAAAAACATAGGTACCAGTGTTGTTTTAGAATTACTCAAACCACTGTATGGTTCAAATAGAAATGTTACAATTGATAACTTTTTTACGAGTGTTCAATTAGCCAAAGATCTTCAAATGAAGAACCTGACTCTTATAGGAACATTACGAAAAAATAAGCCGGACATACCTATTGAATTCCAATCGAATAAAAAACGTGCAATTGGTTCCTCACTATTTGGTTTTCAAGATGATTTGACTTTAGTTTCATTTGTACCCAAAGCAAATAAAGCTGTATTGTTACTTTCGTCAAAACATCATGACAATCAAGTAGATACACTAACTGGAAAACCAATTATTATTTTGGATTATAATAAAACAAAGGGAGCTGTCGATACCATTGATCAAATGTGCCATAAATATACGGTAAAAAAATATTTTTTAAAAATTTCTTCATTTTATTTTCTATAGGTGAAAAGAGGTACAAAACGATGGCCTCTCTGTATTTTTTATGGAATGATAGACATTGCTGCTATCAATGCTTTGATCATATGGAAAGCAAAAAATACCAGCGTCGATTATTCTTGGAAGAATTAGGATTAAGTTTAGTATCGGATCTTTTGGATTTTCGATCAAAAACATCGAAGTTTCTCAACAAAGATATTGAAAATGCATTAGCTATTGTTGGTTATCCTATGGCAAAGCATTTATCTTCAGAGTCGAATGCAAATTCTATACAGTCAAAAAAACGGAAAAGATGTTCCTTTTGTGAAACCGTTAAGGACAAAAAAAACTTCACTTCAATGTTGTCGTTGTTCTGAATATGTTTGTAATGAACATTCTGTAAGGATTATTTATTGTACTAACTGTTCCAAATAAAAATAAACACTCATGTTTATAACTTTTATAGGTATTTTTAGATATTTTGAAATGTTTCGATCGAATAATGTATATTTTCTGATTGTTAGAGCAGGGACACTTGCCCCTCACTTTTTTTGCTCAGAACATTGATGTACAAGTCAAAAAATCACTGTATGAAAACGTATTTTGCTAGTATATTGCTTAAAATAGGCTGGTAGTACTAGGGTTAATGGAATATGAATTTGATCCTGAATCAATATTACTTGATTTCGAACAAGCAACAGTTAATTCAGTAACCAAACTATTTCCAGATGCTGAACAAAAGGGTACTGACAACGCATGCATTGACATTTTCCCTATTAATTTCTGTTGTTTCTAGGTTGTCTATTTCATATGGGTCAATGTCTTTGGAGACACGTACAATCTATAGGACTTCGGAATAAATACATCAATGACGACTTATTTCGATTAAATGTACATAAACTTATAGCACTTGCATTTGTACCAGTTGATGATGTCACCCAAGCGTATTCGTCAATGATCATTGATTTTGATCACGATGTTGATGAATTATTAGAGTATTTTGAGAAAACGTGGGTTGGGCAGAGGAAAACACGAGGTAAATATAAGTATCATTTTCTTCTCTTAAGACTTTAACTCATCATTTTCTTTTAGGTAGTCGACGAACAAAGCCTCAATTCCCTATACCATTATGGAATGTATATGACCGAGTTATCAGAGATTTACCTAAGTCCAACAACTCGGTTGAAGGTTGGCACCGGGCATTTAGTGCCTGAGTTTCAATCAAACATCCGAATATAACTAAACTAGCGAATTGTATTCTAAGAGAACAAAGCAAATTCGAAATAGATATCGAAATAATTCGTGTTGGACAAGAACCAAAACCTAAAAAAAAGATTTATGCTACTCTGGATTCACGATTAAAGCGAATTATTGCTACGTATAACTTTGAATCTATTAACGACTATTTAGGCCGTGTGGCTGTTAACGTGAAACTTAATTGTTAAACTGTTATTTTTTTCTATTGTATTCAATAAATTAAGCTAAAAAGTTTGTAAGATATGACATTGTATACTAAGTGGAGTTGTCATTAGTTAATGGGACAAAATGAATTTGGGACGAAATGAACGGGGACAAAATAAATTAGAGACTAAATGAACGGGACGAAGTGAGCGTGGGACAAAATGAATGGGACGAAAAATAGAGGACGAAATGATAGGGTGCCTTTTGTCAAATAACGAAGAAGAATTTTTAAAAATAAAATATATTGTTTCGAAAAGGTTAATTAGCAATACAATCACAATATTCACTGCATATTTTGTTAGATAAACGCTTTAATACGAAGACACCAGAAATAAGACAAAAAAAGAAAACGAAAATAACAAAAATAAAAAGAGGATCAAGAAATACGAAAGACCTTGATAGCGTGCGTGATGCAGAAGTTTGCTTGCGTTTTATGAATAAAGAAGCATAAATAGATTTTGTTAGCAAGAAAAGATTGAAACTGTTAAATGTGAATTAAACACTAGCTAATTTATCGTTTTTTAAGTAATTCGGTTTACTGAATCGTTCCATGAATCCATCTGTTTATCCTAAAACGAAAAACAGACCCAATTAATTAAGGATGAAGCAAAAAGCGTAAAAATAATCGTAAAAATATTTGGGAAAGTCGAAATAAATCCAGTAAATACAACCAAGAGCGCACTGTTGAAAGACGAGGATGACGTCTGTTCACTTAATATTGTAAGACGGATGTAAATCCTACACTATGCGGACAACCAAGCGATTTTGTTCTCTCTAATATAAACAGTATTATGTACACCATTCAATTGCTACTGCTTTCCCGAAACTGTCAGCTATGAGCAAAATTCACGATAAGTTATACTTTAAAAGGTCTATCGTCACACACAAATTGAACACTTATTCATATTTCTTTACAGTTATCTTCAACTACTTTAACGTAAAGCAACGACTCTTAACACTATCATGATGGCAGATCTTACCTTCCCCTTTTTCTAAACCCGTCATACGATAACACAACAATTAGGACCAAACGTGAGATATTCCCCAATAACAGGATCATCACCATGAGCACCCTTAACAGAACGGTTCATTGCATCACAATTAGAAACAGCAACATTAACAACTTGACAGTTGTAACGAGAATATTTAATAATACTACCAGCAGAGACTTTTTTCCATTTACCAGGAATAGAGATTCTTTTAAATATACCTTGACGACGGTATAATGGGGCTTCATCATTTAATGAATCCAAGATTTCGCGCAAGAAGCTATTTTGTTCATCGTCATTGTTGTTGTATCCTTGGTCGTTGCTTATTGATCGGGCTGTACAGTATGTGGTGATTATGGTCAGCAAGGCGATGCAAATGGTAAGTTTAGTTATATAAAGCATCATTAGTAATAAATGTTTTCTGAATGAAGAGCCGGTGAATGAATAATAGATGCAATTGCACGTCCTTATATATATGTATGGATCAGTTTGGTTTGAAACGAATATAAATCAATGATGCGCGATCGGTTTGTCGCTGCGCGGTATTTAGCGAAGCATAACTGCGGCATATGTTGAAATGAATAGGAATCCTGCGCGCTCGATCGCTTTCTTCCTTTCGCGCTTGCAGTGAGGCATGACCGTCGAGTATCTTGTTTTACGCGATATCATGGTGATAGAATAAATAACGCTCGTTGGAGGTGACTCGCATTACCCTCGACTGAAAATATCACAGTATATTATCAATTTTGATATTTGTTTTTCTTTGTTTCAGTTAAGAAAAATACTTTCTAATATAAACTGTATTTATTTATTTCTATATGAAGTAAAGACACACTAATGATATAATGATCAGCTACACAAAGGAANTTCTGAATATGTTTGTAATGAACATTCTGTAAAGATTATTTATTGTACTAACTGTTCCGAATAAAGATAAGCACTCATGTTTATAACTTTTATAGGTATTTTTAGATATTTTGAAATCTTTCGATCGAATAATGTATATTCTCTGATTGTTAGAGCAGGGACACTTGACCCTCACTTTTTTTGCTCAGAACATTGATGTACAAGTCAAAAAATCACTGTATGAAAACGTCTTTTGCTAGTATATTGCTTAAAATAGGCTGGTAGTACTAGGGTTAATGACATTCACTCGACCAGTCGATTTGTGAACAGAAATCAATTTTTTTAATGATAAAGATATGCGCTGAGCGATCAAAAAGTAGTGTCCTAGAATCAGTTTTCAATGCTGAATCAGAAGAAAAAACTTTCAAAGCTATAGTAAATTTTTTCGAAGCCCTATCGTCAAAATCTTGGCAGAAAACCTGTTTTTTTGAAACCCTCGGTTTTTGCAGTATTTTTCGATTTTCAGCCGGAAGGAAACTTTTTATCTAAATAAATCATACATATTCGGATGCAGCGCATCAAACTGCATCGGATTCCATGAAAAAATTCACAAAAAAAATTTGCTCGAGTTTTGCCTGAGATCAACCTTACAAATATCAGCTCGAAGGAATGTCTTCTTCTCGAGATAAAGAGTTTTAAAAATCCAGTATTACATCAACCATTTGAAAAAACTGATCTGTCTTAGAAATTCATTATCTCAAGAAGGAGACATTCCTTCGAGCTGATATTTGTAGAACAATCCAGTGAGAATAAGACCTTTTTATAGGCAAGAATTTAGGTTGAAAATGCGTTATCAGAGTTTTATCGAAACACCTTCCAATAAGCCGAAAATAGAGTAGAACAATCATACCTCGGAACAAAGAGACGAGGGGACGAATGCTTTTGAGATTTTTCATACCTAATCGAGGTCTACTTACCACCAAAAGATGGGATCTAAACTGCTTGATCACCTAAATATGTTCCCTTGTAAGTGTCCAATCATTGACTGGATGTTCCAAAAGATTTGCGACATTTTTTACTTCGCTGATATCTTGACTGGAGAAATGATACAATCCTGATTTTCCTTTTGGATATTATTCAGCGCCTCTATGGTACTGCGATACCCCATATAATAAAAGTACTAACACATTTATATACTTTTGCATATATTTGAATACTGAAAAATGGTACGTACTTTATTTGTTTTTCAAAAGTTGCTCCATGGAAAGCTCTTTGAGAGTTATGCCGGGAAATTATAAATAATCCCTTTTACTGATCTATTCATTCTTAAAACGACAAAGTTTACAGTTGGTAGTCCTATTTTTATCCTGTATTCTACTTTCATCATATAATGCAGCAGGTAAAGAACTACAACATAAGTGAAAACCAACTCATAGGAATGTATACATCTGTATTTTCTTAAGGGTACCACTCCCTCTTTTTTTATGTTTTTTATGTTTCTCAAAACTCAGCAACTGCAAGTCCAATCGAGCTGAAATTTTCATCATAGATAGAGAACGGAAATCCATTAGACACGTGTTCAAGGAAAAATTTTTTTGAATAAGTCTTTTGGAGATGCTAGTAAAAACTTACTATTTCAGCCCTGTTCATTGTGACCAGGAAAACTCAGCTAAATTTCGTCCGTTGAAGCTGAAAATTTTTCTAGGGATAATCGGACATATTCCCCAGAGGTAAAATTTAGGGTTTTCAGAAATACGCCTTAATTTTTTTCATCAGTAAAAATACAAAAAAAATCTATGGAGATCTCCCAGAAGCCTCTAAAAAACCGTATATATCCGACTTGGATGGTGAAAATCAAAATCAGCCAATTTTAGCTCTGGAGGATAGTCTAAAGTATCGCTGGTAAAGATTTCAGCCCGATCGAATAAGATTTGGGGGAGTTATCCCGGTCACAATGACGGGATTTGGCCAAAAGCCTAGTTTTGAGAAAAATGAGGTCCCGGACTGACCCAATTTTTTTGCACCATTTCTACACTCAACTTTTCACGGCGAATCCACTGGATACGAAAAAAAACTTTTTTGAAAAAATTTTGTTTTGGTCGAATTTTTGTGGTGGTCATCATGTAGCGGATGACCAATGGCTCTTGCCGGGCTCACTCATGTGCGAATGGAAGCACTAATAGACGCCCTTCGTATTCCCAATAAAAGCGAAAAAAAGTTTTCGGAAATATTTTTTTTCAAAAGTGAGGGGGTACTCTTAAACATCAGTTGAACAATTGACCTGCATCGTCTCGTTTATGATGATTCTGTTTGTTTTGCATGTCCTTTGACTTGAGGGAATAACAAGAACTTAATTTTGATTTGAAATTTACGGCATGAAAAGCTCAGCACTAACTGTTTGTATAAATTCAGAATAAAGAAACAAAGGTGGTTCCAATGTATTCATATACATCCGATCACAACGACACATTGCAGTGCTTGATAGGAATTTAATAATGTCTACAAGAAAATTGTTCGAATCGGAGAATAAAAGTTCTCTAACTTAAAAGAAAAATCCGAACTTCATTGTTTACGATGGGATTGTTTTAGCTAGGGATGGCATAATGGGTCTATGCGTCTAATTGCTAGATATCGAAAGGTCTGATTTCTTTCCACGGCTAAGCTTCGTCGATATTATGATCCATGACATCGGTGGAACAGGCAAAATCAGATGAACATATATAACATGCTGACCTCGTCGCGGCTGTCCGTATAATGGGTTTTTGTTCCGTATTTGTATTCCTTTGTAAGCGTCCGAAAAAATTTTATATAAATGTAACAAAAATAAATGGATGTCACGAAATAAACGTCGCACTATCTGAAGGAGCAGGTTTACTTTGATTAAAAATGGCAAGGTTTCAAACAAGATTAATGGTAATTGTTGGACTGATTTTATTTTCAATTTTGTATCTCTACCATATAAGAACAAATTATTCAGTTGATCCCAACATACAACAGGTAGCACTCCATGCAATCGTAGAGGAGAATGATGTACAGAACAGTTTCGTGTGCGATTACAGGGAACCACTTTTCAAAAATGATGCAAAGAATATTTCACATCCTGCACTACATCTTAGAGATTATTGTCTGAAAATTCCCAACCCTATGAATGGGTGGGAAAAAGCGAAAAGGTACCATGAGGATGACATAGCATTCATCATATACACGGCGTTTCCCTTTTATTTGACACGTGCAAGGGCCGTACGGTTCACGTGGATATCTCGTGTAACTAATTATTATTTCCTTAGCTCTGTTCCTGATCCTAGTTTACCTGTCACCGTCACAAATAATACAGGCGAAGATTATCAATCAAATACTAAAAAGATATTTTATGGGTTAGAGCTCGTATATAAGGCTCAGTTATCTATTCCTGCATCTTCCCGTCACAAATGGTATTTTTTANTAAACGTGCCACATCTACTGCAACGGCTTGATGCTTACGATTCTCAAATACCGTACTTTATTGGGGGGTCCGTTGGAACTCAGACCTGCTTCCATCCGAATGGGCCGAGCTACAAAAGTCTGTTTGTCGGAGGTAATACAGCACATGTGTATAGTGCGGCTCTCGTGAACGCTCTTTACCCACATCTGTCTCAATACGTGAATTCGATCTGGCCGCAGCCGAATCATACGTCTTCTGGACAATCTGATGTGGCTTTATCTTGTCTAATATTTCATTTGGGCTTGAATATGACAATTATACCTGGATTCTGGAGAAATACACCTGATAAAACTATCCAAGAATTTGGGTTAACAGAAGCTTTGTCTGAGAAGGAACCAAGCAGCTANTGACGAAGCAATGAAAGATATACGAAGGTCACATTATGCAAGACATGCAATGTATTTTTTAAGAGAAATTCCGGATGATTGCAATCAATTTTCTTAGTAACTATCTGTTTCAATACTTAAAAGTACAATTTACAGTGTGGAACGCGAATACACTGTTTTTTCTTGGTGTATGTATCTGAGAAAATAATTAGCGGCTCATGATCGCACATTAACTATGCCGCTAAAAGCCTTGGTCCTTTTGGTCCACTGTGTTGAGGAAAATCTACAAGAATGAAAATCGAAAGGTAGCACATACATAAAAGTGCTTCGAATTAGTTTTGTTGTTCATTTATGGCCTCATATTCACCGTGAAAATATGGTTACAACCTCATACATCACAAAAGATATACGATTTACCATTAGGATGCGCTATTCAAAGCAAAGGGGACAGAAAACTCTGTGCCTAAAATCGAGGCGCAAGACGTGAAAGCAGCTTTATCTATCCGAGATAGCCCAAACAATTTCAAAGTGTCTCTAAGTTCCCCTAAATGCGCCAAAATGTACTTGTATTACCAGGAAGTATGCTGAAGTACATAAATGTGCTTGCTCAACACATCAAACTATTATTGGCTGCGACATAGAAAATGATACTGTCGATATTTTGCGCTTCTCTCGATTAGTTCCCGTTCTAAGAAAATGAGGTTATTTTTAAAAGATGCGTCGCTAAATTTTCTACAAAACGGTATTACTCATCCGTATAAGTAGATCCTTATTATTATTTCGCAATGCATGAAGTATTGGAACTATTCGTCACTGCTTTCCAATCATGCTAAACTTTCATCTCTTTCTCATATAATCTTTTCTAACTACTACTTCGCCAATTATTTCTCAGCCATACATAATGTCATATGTGTTCAGGTTTTAAACATATCGAATATATCAGAGTTACTAATGTACGAAGGTGTGTCCGCGTAACGGTCAACCTAGATGATTAAAGTAGAAGTCGAAAACTTTGTAGAGCACATTTTTCTGTATACGAAAATGTATTTTCTTTTCTCTGCATCTGTCAAAAACCAAAAAGCAAGTGGTCGTACACCAGCGACATCAAGGGAGGAAAAGCAGGACTTCAGGCTTCAGAAGTCCAGAAGTACCATGAAGTCCAAAGAAGTCCAGAGAAGTCCAAAGAAGTAGAAAAATGCATCTATAAGTAAATAAAAATTTGTCAATATGTGGTTGAATATACCGAAATTTACTTAAAAAAAAGTCTTTTCCAAGAAGTAATCAAAATGTATCTATTTAATTTTTATAACTACTTTGAATAACACGAGAGAGTCGGTCGTTTGATAAGTGGCTGTTCTTCTCTGTCAAAAGCCAAGAGGCTGATTGTATGTATAAAAACTTCTGAATACCGTTTATTTTAATTTTAAAGCATGAATTTTGTTGATGGGATTCTGTTCTTTCACTAATCTTCATACCAATGAAGTTGTCGAAGCTAGTATAAAGTGTAACTGTGGTCGACTGATCATTTTGACGATGAAAGATAAAAATTTTCAATTGTCCAATTATCAAAAACATCTTCGTACGAAAGGCTGTACTTTTATGAATTCATTGAAGGAAAAATATGGAGAAGGAAAGAAGTTGAAACTTCAACAAGCAGCAGATGGTTTAATAATAATAATAATAACGTCCCATAGGCTTTCGCCTGTTGGGGCCGGTTGCGGTCATTATTATATAATTTTTTCCACGTGCAGCCGAGTCCTATCGTCTTTTCTTTTTACGGACGGCGGTATCTGCACCCTCTTCTGTCCAACATACTGCCTATGGATGACTCATCTGGATGAGTCATTTAGACAACTAGCCGTTAGTGACTTGTCCAGGGTCATTCCATGGAAGACGTTACTGAGGTTTGAACACAGTACCTTGCGGTTACGTGTCGAACAACGTAACCACTCAACCATGACGGCTAGCAGATGGTTTAACGTCGTTAAACTCGGTGGTATCAACTTCAGTGATAGTATCACAATAACAGAAGGCTGCACCACAAGTGCCTACTGATCTTTCAGCTGATTCGTCGTCGCTTCGGGATCCACTTACTTTAGGTACTCAATCAACAATGCCTGAAAGAAATATTCGTAGACGCAGTCAACCATCATCTCAATCTCTATCTCAAAAGGCGAAAAGACATCGTGGTTGAATTATTCAACATTTGTTTTTGAATTAACATCTTTTTCTATTGTTTTCTCTATCTGTCGCACAAGATTTTGTCTGAAACACGCACTTGCCTTTGCTTTCGGTTTTCATATTATTTCGTTCTTTATTTTATATCTAATTATTCTATTATTTACGTTTTACATAGCCATATTTCAAGTACGAAGAACGACTATGTTACCTCTCGAAGCAAGTGTAACCAATTCATTTCTATAGATTTTTAATCTTCTTTATTCATTTGCCTACTGTTCTGATTTGTATGATTTCGCTTTATTTGTTTTTTCGAAATTCTTTCTCGTTTTAAATATTAAAAATGGATATCACACAATCAGTATTCATATGATGAGAGTACAAGGTATAGAGACCCAAGTCGAATATTACGGGCAGGTTCCGGGAGGAAAGTACCGGAAATCACTGGAACATGGAAGCAGTATTCCGAGCGGAGATTTTCGGATTTTATTCCAGCAAGTACCGGTCAGTTCCTGCTGGAAACCACAGGAAATTCGTTGGAATTCGCCGGAAAAAAAATCCGAAAATTTCCGCTCGGAATACTGCTTCCATGTTCCAGCGATTTCCGGTGCTTTCCTGCAGGATCCAATGACTTTACCGCTTTTTTCCTGCAAGTTCCCGAGGGATCCGGACACCGGAACGTTCGACACGTGGAAGTACAGAGAAGTACAGAAGTCTGCTTTTTCCCCCTTGACTTCTCAACAAAATAAACTTTCATCGCGATCATTATCCAGTCAGATTTTACCATATAACTTACATTGGCAAATCGACATAAGAAAAGACTTTGATGTTTTCCAAACGAAAAGAAATTTGTAAACATTGTTTACGGCAATAAAGGCTGTCGAAGTGAATCCTCCAATCCAATAGGAATTTTTCGGTAAAGTCACCAAAAATCCGACCAGAATCCGCCAGAAACTAATATGAGGAACTGAAAAAACCGGCCGATTCTGACTGAGCGAAAATGACCTGGGTTTTAATGGATAATCAGAAAAAGTGTGATCAAAACGTGTTCTTATGTATACTTTATGGACAACTCTAAGAAGCATCAGAACCAACACTCAGATGACTTCACCGGGTGGTCTTTTAGAAAACTTTTTAATAACGCTAAATGTGCTGAAATGCCTTCCTGCACTTTCAGTTAAAGGGTAGTTTATCGGTTGTGGATGAGAATACACGCATATCGAGCGACACACATTGAATGTAGAGGCCGTATTTCCATCAGCTTATAAACTAGTCAAAACACGCGCATCTTCTTTGGCGGCACCGCGCTGGAAGTTTAGAATCGAAACATCTGAAGATAATCGTCCATAGACGTTCAACGACATGGCCAAAACTAGGATTATCTGGAGTTGACGGAAAGGATTTGCGATCGTGATGAATCCAATGCGTACTGTTTGCCTAAAACAATAAAGAGGTCCTTGCAAAATATACTCAGTTACTATAAATAATGCTATACCGTACTGTTAGAAGTCCATAAATATATTTGTACATGTTTACTGAACGGTTATGAATCCGTTTTCTGCTAACAAGAAACTGGCCATTAAAAGCGACCTAAATACATTACATGTACATCATTATGTTAGTCATTTGATGAGTCCATGAAGACCCATTCAGTTTTCTGAAGAAATCTTTTTTCGAATTTTTTTACTTCAAAATATCAGTATGGTCTAAACAACACTTTTGATTTAACAAAATTAAATACTTTCTACGGCAAATTCCGAGTTCTCAAGTGATTCTTCGGAACACCTTTAGTATACTTTTATATAAAGGTACTATGGTATGAAATATGGTAGAATTTTTTTAGCAATTTTTTGGTATTTTGTGGTATTGAGAATTATAAACGAAGTCTAAAAACATGTTTGCTGCAAAACGTCAGACTCATGTCATTGGGATTATTGAGCGCTGAATGATATTTTGTCGTTATACCGACTTGCAGAAGTGATATAACGAAGTCGAAAAAGGGACAAAACTGTCGAAATGATAGATTTTCCATTTTACGTAGCGGATAGTCGATATTTTTTGCTATTCCATAATTCACCTTGTGATCCTATTCGTTTGAAATCACCACATGTGTGGATAAGACTATACATTTAAAGATGACCTTAAGGACAAATGGAAAATCTATCATTTCGACAGTTTTGTCCCTTTTTCGAGTTCGTTATATCACTTCTGCAAGTCGGTATAACGAAAAAATATCATTCAGCACTCAATAATTCCAATGAGATGAGTCTGACGTTTTGTAGCAAACATGTTTTTAGACTTCGTTTATAATTCTCAATACCACAAAATACCAAAAAATTGCTAAAAAAATTCTGCCATATTTCATGCCATAGTACCTTTATATAAAAGTATACTAAAGGTGTTCCGAAGAATCACTTGAGAACTCGAAATTTGCGGTAGAAAGTGTTTGAATGAATCACGGAGAAGTCATTCACTTCGTGGGAAATTTTGTTTCAAGTAAAATCATTGAAAGCACCTTCTTTTCACGATTTTTTAGCGACTCAGACTGACCTTCGATGAAAAAACAGCTAAGAAGTCATCCTCAGCTTTCTTTCAAGCGAAAAGCGCAAACATATACAATATTCTTTCGAAGCACCAGTTTTTCGATCAACTACTATGAAATTATTATGAAAAAAATGATCAAATGACATGAAAACTACCCATATGTTCCGAAAGATTGCTATTGATGTATGTAGTTTCCGTCTATATGAAGTTTGAAAGTCACTCTATAGCTACTTTTCATGGAGGATCCACTTGACGCGCGAAAAACCTTTACAAACATTTTGGAAAAAGTGGATGGCTTCTCA